ATCTGACAAATGCCATTAGTCCCGTAGTATAGTGCGGGTTTTTTGTTTGAATATGGCGGTGGTATTCCTCAGCTGGATGGAAGATCCAGCGCCGATCATATACATCGGCTGCGCGGTTTCCCCAACCTGGTAAACTTCCCACAGCGAGCACCGCCCCAAGACTATGACTCCGACGAGTTTCTTCTGGACGTGGTGGTTAGCCTAAATATATGTAAGTGCTGTTGCAAGGGATGAGGATAAACAAGAAGAGGAAGGAAAGATCGCGCGCGGTTTGTGGCTCGTGTCTTAGATAGTGGTCGGCAGTAGCCTCGTACTTGTTTGGATAAAGCGACGGAAAAACTAGACCTCTTTTCTTTCTCTTTCCCTCCCTCCACACTCTCTCTTCCCAACCGCCTCTCTTCTCTCTATCCCCAACGCCTCTCGTCCCATCTCTTCAACCTCTCTCTCTCTTCCCAACCCTCTCCGCTCCCCACTCTCTCTCTCTTCTCCACGCCCATCTCCCTCCCCCTACCCTTCCCTCCTCACACCCTCTCTCCTCCCACCCCCCTCTCTCTCCTCCCCCATCCCCTCTCTGAGTTCATTATGTTGAATACTATTAGTCCATTTATTTCCTCACTTTCAGCTGTTTACCCCAAGAGAGAAAAAAACACTTAATCTTTAAAAAACAAAATTATAAAACACATGCGCCGCAAATCGCACATTATAAAACAAGGATATGACCATTATGAAACTGGAAACTTCAACCTTCTAAGTGAATCAATATTTTCAGAAGATTTATTTATGTGGAACTATAAACTTTTGAACATCGGCCTGTGTTGATGCATTATTCAAAACTACAATAAAAGTAAACACAAAAGCGACATTTTTCAAATAAATAACACAAATGCTTCAGAAAAGTCGTAGTTGTTCATTTTAAGTTTAAACAACAAAAGTTCGATAATTTTTCTATTTTATGATCTGTGCGGGTGTTTGGAATTTACATTAACTGAAGCGCCATCTAGTGAGATTAGCTACATAGATGCCCAGTATTTAAAACCTCTCATAAAAAAAATCCAAGTAATGGGCAACTCTACTGAGTCAGTAAACGTTATTAATCATCCGAACAGGCAAACACTCCATTATATTTTAAAGTATCAATATAATATATAAATATATTTATTATATATAATATATGGGGAGGAGAGGAGTAAGGAAGATAGTAATATTAAAAATATAGTTATATTAGATATATTTATTAATCTTAACCGAAAGTTTAGTTTGGTAGTCTGAATGAATGAAGTAAACAGTTCTGCAGAATATTTACTTCCGGAATGGTTTGGAGAATCTGAATTTCGAGAAGGAGGATGTTGCCTGAAGCGCATGTGCTTGCTTCGCTGCTGCGGCGCAGAGACGGTGCAGCGAGTGCGCATGCGGCTGCACGTTCTGCGTGGGCCAGGAGTCTGGAGCGCTTGGCGGATCGTCTGCAGTCGGCGCGGGCGGCTGCTGGGCTGGCAAGGGAGTTCGGGCCGGACGTTGGGCCCGCAAGTTTCCTGCTCTCGCTGCCCGGACATAGTGACGACCGCAGCCCCGGCGCCCGCCCCGCTCTCAGCGTCCGCCGACCCGAACGAGCCTGCACCCCGACGCCCAAGCCAGCCCCGTGCTGGGCCGCACCGACCGCCCGCGCGTCCGCCCGGGCGCGCTCGCAGGGTGGGGCAGCCCCCCTCCCCCCAATCTTACATTTCTCCTCTCCTTGTTAATCTCCTCCGCATTCTTTACCCCTGATCTCCTTCACTTCGTCCTAATTATTTCTTCCGCTCCCCGCTCCCCTCCCTCTTCCTTCCTCCACCCTCCTTCCTTTTCTCCTTTCCTTCAATATCAGTCATCGGCTTCGCACCGACTTCCTGACGCAATGGGCTTCCATCCAAATTGCCTTCAAAATTCGCCAGCTTCGATTACGACTGAAGGCGGTGGATTTTGGAAGCGACTGTCGAAGATCCTGGCAGGTCGCCGTTAAAATGAAGTTCCTTACTAGTGTGAGTTACACGTTTTCAAGAAGATTGAGTTGGCCCCATATAGGTAATTCGACTGTTCGATTTGAAACCGACATTCAGGCCAGAGAAGAGTTATAATGCATTTCAGGAGCATTAACCGTCCCTCAAAGAAGGGTAGCCTGCTGGGAAGACCCATTAAAACCCGTGCTTGGGATAAGCAACCTGGCGTCCAAATAAATGTGCAGAACCTCGGCCAATAGCCGCCTCCTCCGCAAACTGCTCATACGACCAACCACAATATAATAATAATAATAATAATAATAATAATAATAATAATAATAATAATAAAGTCGACCCCGTGGCGCAGACGGTTGCTGCAACCGCTGACTGTTTAATTTACAACTAAATACTTTAATTTTCACTGGTTTTATTAATATCTATTGTTATCACAAACTATTGTATTATAAACGTGTGTACAGAAAAAGGGTACATTTGTTACAAACGCTTATTTAATAGGAAATGTTCATTCATTATGGAAAATCGTCACAAATACAATTTTATGGAAACTTGTATTTGTGATATAAATTTCACTGCGAGTTTATATATATATATATGCAACGATACTTCAAATATTGTTCAGGAGAAAACATTTTAAAGTGTGATTAATTGTACCACTTCCCTGCTTTGATTTTACTCTCGTAATCGGAGAAGAAAGTATTAATTCCTTTCTTTATTCGCAAACGTAACTTGACTATAAATACATTGGAACTTTGGAGTAAGACATAAAAAGCGTGTTCGGAGGAAATTCTATAAAAGTAAATGCGTTTTTTTCTTCACAAGAGAATCGACATTTCAGTTGCAAATCTGAGATAAAATAATGTTAACTCTTAAATCATTAGCTTCTGTATCAATATCTGCTGAATACGGAGTATGAAATTTCATCTCCAAGATTTTCAAATTTTCATAATAAGATTGTACTTGCTTGCTTCTCATTTTAAGGCCTTAAATTAGTTTCCGGTACCTGTAATATATTCAGTAAAAGAATAACGGTTTCGGTATTTTTGTTGAAACCGTTTTGAACAGTTTCGCTTTGATTCCTTGGTATTCATGATAAGAAAGCATGAATTTGTGTAATTATATAGTAGTAAAAGTTACTTCTGATCATGTCAATTTCATCCCGAAACCAAACATAAGAATATATATCGAGAGAAATTTGAACACATTTCCTCCTCCTCGTTCTCTGTCCGTAAGAGTGGGTCTCGTTTTACGAAAATGCTAGTAGTTCCTCTTTCGAAGCGATCGTGCCGGGCAGAAAGGCGGGGCGGGGCGAGGCGGAAGACCCTACTTGAACGGCACCCTTCAAATATTATTTCCCTCTGGAACAGGCACCGCCACCGCCCGAGGCTAGCAAAGGGCCCTTGCGAGCATCAAAGAAGGAACGCGAGTGTGCTGTCGGTGGCTACGAACAGAGGCACATCTCTAACACCTGCAGCACGAGCTGAAATCTCAAGAGCACAAAGAGCAGAATTGCCTTCTGCACAAGAATTTTGATGTAAAAATGTTTGCCCTTAGAACGAACAATTTTACCTGCATTTATTTTACGGTTCACTAGTAGATAAGTAAAATAATTATGTAATAATAACTAAGCTGTAATCGTGGTTTAGGTTGTCGTGGGTCTTGGCGGGATGGCTCCATGCTTCGCACTCCCGAAGGAAATGTTTGGTTTAGTCTATTTCAATCCCAATTCTATTTCAATGAGTATTAATGAATTATTGATTCAATTGGTTACGTAGAAAAGCTGGCTTGTGCATCGTCAGTAATAAGAAACGAGTATATTAGTATTAGTATTCCTATTACGTACGAGAGGTGTTATTGTCCTTGTGTGTGTGTGCAGGCGCATGCGCAAGACCGCATTAGCCCTGGACGACAGCGGCTCTGTGTGCAGCTCCCCCGCCGACTCGCTCTCCTGCACTCCGCAGCCTTCGCCGTCCCCCGCCCACGCAGCGACCACGCCCCTCGCCACCGCCTCCGCCGGTGCCGCCCCCAAGGCACCTGCGTCCAGCTTCAAGGTGAGTCACGCCACAAAGTAGACTGATTTTCGGATAGAGGAGACGACAAATGAATCAAATATTGAAGGGTTCGGTTCTCGGTGGTGTCGAATATTGCTCTTTGTGACTGTCCGTTTTAATAAATAATTTCAATTTCAACCTTCTTTCTCACCTAAGAATTTTACTGAACCCGTCATATCTTCCAGTAGTTGATTTGAGTGCTGTGCGGTGCTGAGGCTCCTCGCGCACCCCCCTGGCGGGCCCCGGGGATTGTGAGGTTCCCCGGTAGACTTGAGGTCTCTTGACTGTATCCGCCCCCCTCTGCTGCAAGGCGTAGGCGCCCTTAGGGCCCCTTCCCACGGCGCGGCCGCGGCGCGCTTCGCAGCAGCGCGGCGCGTAGCAGAGGGCATTGGTTTGAATGGAGGGTCCTTTCCACGCGCAGCGGCGTGGCGGCTTGCTGCGGCAGCCGACGCCCCGAACTCCAAGCTACGCGAAGCGAGGAGGGCCACGCGCCACCGCTGCAGAACACAGCTTTTAAATGGAGCGTTCCCACTGCGCCGCGGCCGCAAGCGTTCACCTGCTCCGGTCCCTTTCTCGTCGTCGCCGGAGGGTGCGGCGAAACCTACTCCTCCAGAAACCCCGCACCCTCCACGGCGGGCGGCGTTGCGGCCGTGGCTCCGGCGCGTGGCTGCGTCGAAGAGCTCTGCTGCTCGAAGGAAGCGCGCCGCGTCGCCCGTGGAAGGCGCCCCCCTTTAGACAGTCGGGTTGTCGCTGTGTCCCAGGTGCCGTACAAGAGCTGACGACGCCACAGCGCGCCCGGCGTCGCCAACTACAGCCCCGCCAGCAGCGCCGCCCGCAGCAAAGCGCCTTTGCGGCAGCAGCCCCTGCTAGGCTATCCCGTTCCTAACCGGCGCCCGCGAGCGCGCGCGCCCGCCGCCCCCGCCCGGCCGTTTCGCCGCCGCCCCCGCGCCGCCGAGGCAGAGTGCTGCAGCCTGCGCTCTGCGCGCGCTGCCGCGCGGCGCAGGGCGGCGCGTGGCGGAGGCGCGCAAGGCGGTGGCGCAGGGGGCGGCGGCGGCCGGTGGAGCGGGAGGGGGAGGGGCGAGGCCGTGCCAGGGCAGCCTGCTCCTGCGCAAGAGGACGGAGCGCGCCGCCCGCCTCACGTGGCGCGCCGCCGCCCGCGGACGCCACCCGGCGCGCCTTCCGCTCCGCACGGTCAGTCACGCTGCGCGGTATTTCGCATTTGCCATTTGGCATCCGACTTTTGCCATTTGCCATTGGACATTAGACATTTGATTTTGGACTTTTGACATTTGCCATTGGACATTTGACATTTGACTTTGGCCTTTTGACATTTGGTAGGAGGACGGTTTGGTCTTGAACAGAGTGCTTTAGTTCGCAACCAAAGACCAACTGTATACAAAATTGTAACGTAGACAAGCCTTACGAGATGACCATAAATATTGTAATAGAAGTAGCCGCTTCATGAGACATGATCAATGAAGTAATAAAAGACATACTCGTTTGTTGCTTTTCAGAAAATTTATTGCCATCATTAGGACGGAACAAACATAAGATTGAAAAAAATTGTTGATTAAAAACGTTAGGCAATTTTATAATCTACATAAAAATAACATTCAAAATGTTTCTTTTTTTTTAATCTTATATGATCAGATCACTGTTAACAGAAATAAGTTTTCCTGTATGTTGGCAAATAAATAATTAGCTCTACATTCCACTGATATAGTTGCATGAACCAGATGCTTCTCGTATTTCTAAAGGAAAGAAATAAGTGCTCTCTTATAGATTCGCACTCATATACGCATAATTTCATTGAAATTGACCTGGCTAATCAAATATGTTTAGACTGCTCTTGAAGGAATTATTACCTATTTGCATGCTTTTAGTATACAAAATTTGGTGTTTAAAAAGTGACATGTATTTTCCCCCACCCAAAATCTATGTTCTTATTGGGGTTTCCATTTTCTTTGTTATCAGCTTCTTCGATATGGCATGAAGGAGTGTGTAATCAATGTTACTTCAGAAAATTCTCCACGTTTCAAATTCCTTGCTTGGGAGTTTTACAGGTGAGCAGTTTCTTTAATTTGAAAAGTATTTACCCATTAAAGCCCAAACGTAAAATAAATAATGATTCAGTGTGAGCTCATCATCATATTTTTCAATATTTTCATCTTTGTCACCACATAATGAATGAGAGAAAAGCTATTTTCATCATTGTACCATTTCTGATTACACCTTTTATTTGTAAGTTTCTTAGTTTTTACGGAGGGGCAAATATTTTGTTCTTTCGTTGAGAGAACAGTTTGATTTGGTTCCTCAGGTGCTGAGGTCAGATTTACGTCTTCTCTCGATCTCAACATCATATCTGAAAGATGATTTACTTTAGGAGTATTCTCGTTCCCACTTTCTTCATCCTTGACAAGACCATATTCAAAAGGAAAAATGTGATGTCATCTATCGATTCATCAGTTTTTTCTTCCAAACACTAGTGCTTCATGCAAAGTCAAGTTATAAATTAAAAGTAATTATTTTGATATGATAATGTCTCAGTAAGTTCAAACTCATAATCGTTAATTCAGAAGCACGTAAATGTACGCAAATGGTTGTGCATGTGCCCAATGTCACATGTGTCAGGTGACACTTGGGATTTCTGACGTAACACTGCACTCAACTGTATAAAATTCCAGAAATTGATAATACGAATTCTTTAATTGATATTTCACAAAAAGATATGTTTTCAGTAATGAAATATATATATTATCTTTCTTTATGATTTCTCCTTGCCAAAAGTAATTATCTCACACATAATCACTTTCCGCTACAACTGCTTCCATGTTATTGATAATTTTATCGCTCTACTAAGAGCAACGCAAACTATAATGGTCTTATCTCTTTCTCAGAACTGTATTTTACAATCTGCAATGAAAACTTTGTTTATAAGCATAGACTGAACAAAAGGAAAGTGAAATTATTGTGCGTCACCTGTAGATGACTTTAGGCTTTCACAGGTTAAAGGTAATAAATACAGAAAAAAGTTTGATTGACCCTGCTTTTAATGCAATTAACCTAGAAATAAAACTGCAAAGTAATTGCAAGAACACAAAAACAAAAGGTACAACTTATGAAAGGTGTACTAACTTAGTTATTTCATAAAATACTACAATAAAAAATACATCACACATATCTGATTTTGAGTCTGTGCCAAAGCAGCAAAGATCACTCATGATTTTTATTGAATTTTATATTTCTTTTTAATTTTAACTTTAAATATTGGTAGGCAGTTTGGGTCACTGAACCTTATGATAAAAGTTCAAACCAAGCAATAGGTATGTACTTTGTTTTAAAGGATTGAAAAGTTCCAAAACTGTATTTAGTTTTAAAAGGAAGAAGAAAAAAAAGTTAATATTATTTCTCTATGCTTAACTTGTTATTGGTTGCAAACCAACATGGAAATATCGTACCTAATTTTTTTGACAGCCCAAAGCTGAGTGCTGAGAATGTGGATGGCATACCTGTGGGAGATGGAGCCATGCTAATTCTGGATGCTGAGAGCAAAGCAGGAGTGGTGGAAGTGGCTCGTGCCTTCTTGGCCAGCCCTGGGGTGCAGCCTTCCTTGGTCCCTGAGGGCTGGGTAGAAAATCATTTTCGTTGGTTGGTTTGGAAATTGGCTACTACTGAAAGAAGCTTTCCGCAGCTCTTTGCTGGCAGGTAAATCTATTGAACTCTTAGTTTTCCACCTATTTGCAAGATTGCTGCTCATTGTTACTACACATTTCTTTTTGTTCATACATTCTAAGTAATGTTGCATTTACATTCTTACTTGGACCTGCTCATTTATGAGAATGAAAATAATATTTTTGATTTAATTTTTTTTTCTTTTTAGATGTTTGACACCAAATGTGTTGCTGCTTCAGTTAAAGTATCGATATGATCGAGAGTTGGACTGTTGTGAACGACCTGCTCTACGACGAATATTAGAGAAAGATGATGCACCAGGCAAGCGTCTTATCCTGTGCATTGCAGCTGTTTTACCAGTATGTGGAATATATCTTGAGTGGCTGAATAATGTGTTGAATTTATTGTATGCCTGAGTTGAGATGTTACTTTTTAGAAAATGCATTGTATTTTGGAATAGTTGATTATTATATTTTAAGCTTAGTTATGGAGTTATATAGATAGAGTTATATGACTGGATGAAATTTTGTTTTTTCTGTTGGTATTACCAAGTTTCTGAAACAACACTGAAACTTTTTAGAAATATTCTAGATTGTAATTATTTACACACATTGAATGTATTGCAAAACTTGATTCAACCCAGTTTCAGCTGGGACATTTAAATAGACAAATGAAAAGTTATTTTCCTACAGAACTTTCATAACTAGATTTGTTTTCTTCACTGCACTATTTAGGCTCTTGTCCCATGTGAAACAAGAAAGTGTTCAAAGTTCATGCCCTCAGTGTGTAAGACTCTTCACAGTTGCCATCTTTTCCTCTGGTGTATAGTAGTCTAGTTTTCTGGTAGAGAGAATGTGAACTTGTCTAATTATTAAATAGATCACATGTTGGATTGATTCAAGTTAGAGGGAGAATTGCTTAGGAATGCATCAAGTGGTCCTTTGGAAGGGTACAACTCACTGAAAGGAAACTTACAGTCACAGAGAAGTGTGTACCAAAGTGATGGCCAGAAAAATAAAATTTGAAGAGAATGGAATTTCTTGACTCATTATGTCCAAATTTGAATTTCTCTTTGAGATCTATTCCTGATATATCAAGAGGGGACTGTTTTATCTGAACCAAAAATGTGGACACATGGGACAATCAGAGCTAGAAAAGCAGTATAATTAACTCTCCTGGACAGATCTTGCTGAAGATCTCTCTAAAACTCTTGATTTTGCTGGAAAGATCTTGCTGATTTCTCTCTAAACGACAAACCTTAGCAGCAGGAATTAAACTGCATTCTATAACACTGTCTATCTGGAATTAGCAATCAGGAAGATGTGCCATAGATGCTCTAGAAATACAATATTTTGCTATGTGAAAATGCTCCTGCATTTATCTACCACCTGTCTCTACATTTCAAGTGATCTGAAAAACCTACTTAATGACTGGATGATAAGTTGTTTAACCTAGGAACCTGGTGTAAATGTTTGTGATTTTCTCCTTTTCAACTTCCTGATACAACACTTCAAGGGTATTCACTATTCATTGGATGAAGGGAAATGTAATGGCAACTGCGAAAAAGGGATTTTGTTCTCAGAGCGGAAATTTCTTCAATGATGGCATTCCTTACTTTGTGATTCTTTACAATATGAATAAGTAAATCTAGTGCTTTCTTTTATATTCTTTCCTCAACTACAGTATTAGTGTTTATTCATAAATTTTAGAGCTGACATTTTAGAATTTTTTTTTACCTATGTATGATGTACTGACAAATATAAATATGTAACAGGTGCAAGCTGGGACCCAAAATAAAAATGAGTCGGATTCACCAGCCACAGTTGCATCTGTTGATGAACGATTCAGTTCCGATTGTGAGCTGCTTCTGACAGATGGTTGGTACAGTGTGACTGGGGCAGTGGATCGTGAAATGTGTCGTTTGGTGCATAGTGGTCAGGTAGCTGTTGGTACCAAACTTATAACTCACGGAGCTGAACTAGTCAATTGTGATGAAGGTTGTTCACCTTTAGAAGTAAGTTGGTGTGTAACATTCTCTCTTCCTTATAAATAGATGCATTTCATTGATATTTTTGCAACTAGAAATTTTTGAGAGTTAAAAGAGAGTAAAATATGAAAAAACATTGCGTATAAGAACATAATAATATTAAGCCTTGCAATTTTATTATTCTTAATATTGTTCACAAACTTATGAATGATGAAATATTGAGCATTCTCTTGTTCCTCAGATAAATTATTTGACAAAATGGTAGTTTTGGAGGTCATAAAATAAGGGTGGATTGTTATTCATTCTATATTTTTTAAGGTACTATCAGATTTATTAATTTTTTCAATTTCAAGGTTTCTTGCTTTTGTGAATAATTTCAGAATAAATTATAATTTTGATAGTAAAAGCAGACAACTCAGTATATAAATTAAGTAATTAATCATCTCCCAAATATTGCATTATAAAGATAGTGAACACGGTTGAAGCAAAAATTTAAATTTTATAGGTAGAGAACAACTTATTTTAAATTTAAGACTTGCAAAGTAAGCTTTTGATGAAAGTTTAATTCTTTCTTTAGGCACCATCAGCAGTGAGACTAAAATTGCACACTAACTCAACTCGAAGAGCATGCTGGGATGCAAGATTAGGCTTCCAAAATTGTACAGGTCCCTTTCCTGTTCAGTTGAATTCAGTTTTACCAAATGGAGGTTTGGTTGGTTGTGTGCGAGTGCTGATTTCACGTGTGTATCCTGTTATGTATTTAGAGAAGCTTTCAAATGGCAAGTCTGGTAAGTGAATTATTAAGTTTTTGCAGAATCTTACACTCAAATAACCTGTAACACTATCTGTAAACCTGCAATAACTGTCTTAACTTCACATCAAATGCAGATCTTTACTTAACACATTAACACCCAACATCCTTGTTTAAGGATGCACGATTTTGGTGTACTCAGATTTGTTTCTTTTGCCCTAATCTATGAATTTTATATCTTCATTAGACATAGGCATCCTAAACAGAACATATATGCAAGTTTTAGAATTCCTGAAAGTTGGTTGTCAATTTAGCTGAGATCACTAAAGCAATGTACACTCCTGGTCAGGGTGTATCCATGGCATGCATTGGTTCAAATCTTCTTCATAAACCATGCTTCACTGCTATATGTCTATGCATAAGTTGGAGGGAAAGGCTGGTGTAAAGCAAAACATGTGTGGTTTACTCCAAAATTGGCAGGGCATATCAGCTAAGGTCTAATAGTTTTACTATTTCGTACAGAGAATAATTGCTTATATAATCAACTGTTGGTGCTTTGGTGTAGTAGTATATAAGTAACACAGTAATATAATTTAGCAGTAAAAGTTGCAAACAGAATGGATGCAGTAAAAGACATTTCCAAAATATGAATACAGAAACAATAATTAGACTACATAACATTGTATCCAAACCAACCCTATTATATGGTAGTGAAACTTGGGTATTAAGACAAAGAGACAAGGAAAGGATTGAAGTGGCCCAAATGAGATACTTCAGAGTGGTATTAAAGATCTCAAGGAAAGGTAGGATAAGAAATGAACATATAACAAAAATACTTCAAATAAAGAATATTGTCCAGGAAATAGAGAAGCACCAAATAAAATGGCATCAACATACAAAAAGAATGAAATCCAACAGATACCCAAAAATGGCAATGAGATAAAAGCCACAGGGAAAACTAGAACCAGGGAGTCCAAAGAAAAGGTGGACGAACCAGGAACACCTCAATAGCAATTGAGGAAATACTGGAAAGAAGGAACAGGCCAAGTGGCTTAAACCTCAAAAGTTCATGATGATGATGATGATGATGATGATAAAGTTGCGAGCACTATGCATACAAAATTAATTAGGGCCTTAATGGGTTAAGTATAAATTTTGCATTACCCATCTTTTGAGTAATTTGTGACACAGTTGTGTGTCGTAGTCATATCCACCCATAGTCAGTCTCTTTATCTCTGCTTGTGAAAGTATTTGAAGTGAAACTATAGAAAGCCTAAAAGGAGAGATGTTCTTCATTGCATTATTATTAACTATTTTCATTCAAATTGATTTTTGTTTGATTTCGTTGCTTTTGCAGTTGCTCGGACAGAACGTGCTGAGATGCGAGTGGCAGCTCATTTTGAACAACAACGTCAATTAAAATTGGAACAGCTGTACAGTCAGGAAAGAGCCAAGTTTTCTCAAGAGCGACGTGGTAAGCGGCGTGTAAGCGTTCGTGAGCTTGCACAAATAACATCTGGTCATGAGTTATGTGAACTATTGGATAGTGATCCAGATCCTTCTAGCCTTCAGGTATGTTTAGTTCATTTCATTATTTGAATGATCTTTATTCACAAGCCAAACACATTTTTTTTTTATTTCTCTTCCTACATACATGATGTATTGGTGTAGACCTGAAAGTGTAGGCTTCTGCAGCCAGAGTCAATAGGTTCTTGGCTGTCTGAGAGATGCTGTGTCCTAGATATAGTTGCCAACGTTTTGACTGTCATACTGTGACCTTCCCCAGGGCAAATGCAGTTTGCTGAAAGGTTAGCAACCATGCCCAGGAAGTGGCAAGTCTTGGAGAGCCAAGAGTCTTGTGTAATTTATCTTGAATAGCTATATAGTGTGTAGAATATTATCCACAATAAAGTTTTTTGAGTGCTTAATGATTTGTTGTGCAGTCCCTTTTAACAGAGGAACAACAGAATGCTGTGAGGGAATTCCAACAAGGATATAGAGATCAACTAACCAGAGAACTTCAATCCAGAATACAACAACAACTGGGTGAAGAGAAATCAACATCTCGTAATGTGGTGTGTGTTTTGAAGGTAATTATGGAAATACTTCATAGAAAAACAATCACTTAAATTGAAATAAGGTAATGTGGGGTAAGTGTGCTTTTTGGGATAAGTCTTTAAATCCTCCATTAAATCCAAACCACAAACGAAAAAAGAGCTCCCCTTCACGGAGCAGAAATATAAACATTGATGTGACATAAAACAATACAAGAGTTTGCTAAGATGAAACATAACTTGAGGTTTTAATTTCAACAAGTTGATTGAGCTGCACCTAGTAAGTTCTGCTGCCTTACTTTACTGGGATTCATACTCAACCAGATTTGTGTTGGTGTTTTTTTGTTTGTTTTTTTAAATACTGTGATAAGAATCTCTACTGTTCTTTAAAATATTTTATAATTTGTTTTCCTTGATAATTTTCTGCAGTGGTATACACTTGCCCCAGCAAAACATGGTCATAGGAGTAAATGCAGATCTTTCCTGTGGGACAATTCTAGTCAGCACTAGAGTACTTATGAAATATTTTGAAAAATTGTTGTGATAATCTAAAAATTATTTCTTAAGTAAGTTTTTCTATTACATTAAGTTTCCCACTTTCGTAATTTATGACTGAAAAATTGGCTGAGATATGTCTTTTACTATTTTTAAACATTTTTTGATGATTCCAGGTGTAAAATAATTCTCTAGAAACAAACCATTTTGCACTTGTGTCATAAGGGCTACTGCTTCAATAATGAAATTTTTAGGAACTTCATCCACACTTACCCCAATAGACAGGGGCAAGTGCATATCAGCATCTGAATTGAATTATTAATTTTAAAAAATGGATATGGATAAAGCTTGAATTTGAATGTATATTTCAAAATAAAATGATTACAAGAACATGTGGGAAAAAAATGAAGAAAACTCTTGCTTCAAAAATTACGATTTTACAGTCACTAAAAGTCCAACTTTGTAAAATCTAATATGCACTTTCCCCACATTACCTTAACCCAACCCTATTTTAAAAAGTGTAAAATCTTATTTGAGTGTCAACATTATAGATTCGATGTCTGGATGTGAAAACGAGGGACAGTTCCAAAACAGCTCTTCTTTCTGTGTGGAGGCCGTCAGAAGAGGCGGTGAATCTTCTAAAGGAAGGATGCATGGTTAAACTGTTCAGTGTGACTGCCCATGGTAACAGAATGGGAAGCTTGCAGCTATCAACTGGGAGACAAACAAGATATTGCCCTGTACCCTTACCAAGGCTGGTTCCATACTTTCAAAGGCGTGTTTCCAGTTTTGATGAAATCTTATCACCAAACTTTCAACCGCCTTTCAATGAGATGGATACAGTGGGGCTTATAGTTCATGTTGGTTCAGGTCCTCAGTCTTCTCATTTTGAGACCATGTACTTAGCTGATGCTGATATGAGAATCATTGGAGTGTCTTTTTGGGGTGGTATGAAGGTGAGTAAGAAAACTTAATTTTTTATATTCATCCAAACAAAGTTGATCCTGTGTTAACATGGATGCTTTCCTAATCGATCTTAATTAAGTTATTTAAAGATGATTATGAGAAGAAAAACAATTAGGCATAAAAATGGTGGATTTAAAGCTAGATATACAATTAATATTATGAGTTGGTTTACTTTTGAATAACAAGAGAAAAACGCAAGTAAATTTCCTGCAACTGATTGGCTGCCTGTTTGTAAATGGAAACATTTAGCATGATCATTCTGTTCGTTCTATCATTCATTATTCATTCTAGGAACTATGAATTTGCATTACAGGAATTTGGTTGGGAAGACCTTTTGCGACCCAATTCCTTTGTAGCAGCTTCTAACCTGCAGTGGCGGCAAAACTCAATCACCCAAAGAGTAATATGTACTTATGCATCAGAATTTTCAACTTTCACAAAAAGCCCAAAGCAGATTCTTCTGAAAGAAGCACTTGATGATCTCAAGTACAACATCCAAATGGTAAATCTTTCAGTCATTTTATGTCATCAATCATCAATGTATTTCAACCATTTGCATGTGTTGTATCATTACAGTATGATTAAATCCTACTATAATATAATAATAAAAACTCTACTGCTTGTGGTTCTTGCAGTATTCTGTGTAAGCGTGTGATGGAAAGAGTTGAAAATGTGTTGAGTGGAGTCTGGAAGTTTGGCAAAATACCTTTTTATTATTGTTAGAATTTTATGCCTTTTAAAAATAGGAATCACTTAATTGTACTTCTGGAGTTGTTTTAGTACGTTTTCATTTTGCCTTTTTCTGGCATATTTTAGTTTCTGTTTGTGGCACTCTGCCTTATTTGTGCCTTTTCTGCCTAATTTGTGCTTTTAAAATGCCGTTTGTAAATATGGTATGAGCTGACTATCTTGTCTCTTGCAGGATCTAAAACAATTTTCATCAGCATGTAAAGAATTAATTTTCTCTCATATAAATGGAAAACTCACTGGTGAATCTTCTAGTTACCAAAAGGAAAAACAAGTGACACCTCTGTCTGCAAGGTCTCATTCAGCTCTGTCCGAAGTACCCGAAGAAGATGTGAAAGAAACTCCTGTTCGTAAGAAGTTGCGTAAATTGGAGCAGTATGCAGATCCTCCTCCGATTTCACCTCTATTTCTTCCTTCACCTGGGCTTTCATTGAAGAAACAATTCCACATTCCTTCAAAAAACCCTCCTTGTGCTTCTTCTAATATTCTGTGTAAGCCTGTTGTGGAAAGTGTTGAAAATGATGAGAGTCCTCCATTGAGCCTTGATGAACCTGGATGAATTACAACTCCAACAAAAAACTGTGATATTTCTGTGCTATTTTTGTTATTTGTTGTTGTTGTTGATACAAATGTATAGAATTATGTGATACTGTGATTCATTAGTGTAATTCTAAGACTGCAACCTCACCTAATTTTTCATGTATATAAGCATGTAAATTGTAAAGAAATCTCAGGGAGAGTGGCAGGGATTTTACTAAAATAATGTTATAAGTAGATAGTTGCCTAAATATAATGCCATTTGTAATTATGTAAGTATGTATGATAATGTATATTATCTGTATGAGAGCGTTGTTAAATTCATGGTGCCAAACATTTATTTTTGAATATTAAAATATTATTTTGAGTTTTTTATTTATCATAATTTTGTATAAACCTTCATACCTGAGTTTATGTCTTCAAGAAAATCTCAAAAGAAGCATTTGTTAGACAAGATACGTTTCTCTAATGTAAAATAATAACCAACATATGTATTCATTTGTTACATTAATTCAGACTCAAGCCTTGAATATGTTAAGATAAGTGGCTTTAAAATTAAATCATTTTTTTTATAACTGTATGAAGTGAATCTTGGAAGGAAATGTTCTTGAATGACCTGGAAGATGATGGTATGATACAGATGGGATTCAATAGTTATGAAGAAACTAACTTGGGGGGTGTAATGTGTTCGGAATCAGAAATGTTTGGATTATCTTAAAATTGTAGTTCGTATACAAATACATCTAGAGGTAGTCACAATGCTCTGCAGCCTGAGATGAGAATGGCAACGTGGCATAGCGATTGCATGATCACATCAAATCAAGCAGATTCAATTCCTTACGGCAGATGAGTACCGATTTTGCAAGATCCTCTAAGTGATAATTCCTGCTACATAAACATGATACCAGTTCAATAAACATTTCATTTCGACAACTTGTGTTTCAGTAATTAGTTTGTTTGTTTCTACAATAATTATAAAATTCTTTCTTTACTCTGCAAATATGCATTAAAAAAAACAATTATTTAGTTTTTCCTCAATCCAGAATTTTGATCGGATTATCTGAAATTTTGGATTTGCGGGGATAGGATGAGCTGGGTTCTACTAATAGAACTACTAATACAGCTCTATTAGTATTTTTTACTTTTCCATAAATATGAACTATACGGAAAGTTTGTATGCTGCCGAAAATTGATTTTCAGATTTCAAAGGAATTCACGTTTTGGGGTCCCCTGTTATCAAAGCAGATTTTTTCCAAATTGAAGGTACCCCTGTCCATTTGGCTCAAGTCAAAGCTTTGAGATGTTCAAAAACAGTCTTTAAAACTTGGGGGTACTTTACATGAAACCCTCTGGACATTTTAAAAATTTTCTCAAAAACTGCTCCAAATTTTTTTTAAAATTTCTTTTAAGAATGGAGTTACATACAGTTATAGAAGTGGCATTGGTTCAATTTTCACAGTTAACTGAATGTTTGAAAATTACAAACGTTTGAATTATTTCTGGCATTTTCCTACAATACAAAATTGAAGGTAGAGATTTTTCCTTACAATGAAATTTGTTGCTTATAATCGGTTCTTTCAATAAGGTCATGTACATTTTTTTGAAACTTTTAGTAGTTTTGTGCAATATTGTGAGCAATAAGTGCAATTTTAAAATATTACAAAAACAAGATTTTCTCAAAAAAGGCTCAGATTTTGTTTTTGTTAACTTTTGGTAGGGATAGTGCTAAATGCACTCTATAAAACGGCATAAACACCATATTGCTCTATTCTTTTGTGTAATCATAAATTACAAAACTTTACTTTTTTTGACATGTGTCTCACACTATTAATATTTTTATTAGCGGCAATTTGTTCACATTATTATAGAAATGCGAATATGTTCTGTAAATAATGTCATAAAATTTCTCAAAAACTCTATTTTCTGTCATAACTAGCTCAAAAACACTCGTACGCCATTTTCTCAAAAATAGATCCAATTCTTTTCTACAAACTTTTCCAACGGATAGTGCTTATTGAACTGTGTAATATGACAAAGTACATTTTGCTGTATTCTTTTGTTTTTTTAAAAATTACACAATTGTAATTTTTTTGAAATGTCTCTCACGCCTTTAATATGCACATTTCAAGCAATTTGTAAAACTATGAAGAGAAGTTCAATTTTCGCACTCACAGTAATGCTTAAACACCAATTTCTTAAAAACGGCTCCAAATTTTTCAATGAAAAGTTTCATATAGGGCGAGGTCTTACTCTTAATATACTTAAAGTAATATAATAATCTTAAAGTAATAATTCAATTCTACTATTAGGAAACAAAACAATTGAGAAAATTTTAAAAAATGTTCTTTGGGCAGTGATAGATGGCAGTTGGCAAGAAAATGTGGCAAGTCTGAATAGTTAGCCGAGACGAAAGGAAATAGAAACCTAACACAGGAAGTCTGTGTCATTCTCTAGCACCATTATTTTATTTAAAAGTATGGCTGAATTGTTTGGCCATTTAACACATACACATAAGAATTGTCAATCAAAATGAGATGGCAAAGAAATCATTTATATTTACAGATATTTGAATAATGAATACAAATGTTCAAGAATGGTAGGTGTTGGATCTAGACTTTCCTGAGTAAAATATTCATAACTCTTTTGTTTTGCACAAATTTGAAATGATCTTGTTTATTCTTTTTTGCAAATATTTTTTGTTGTCCTCAAATTGCATTGATTTGGGTGATATATCCCAAAAACGAGTTGACTCTCTTGACTATGACTGATTTGATAATAGACCATCAAAGTGATTTGGTAAGATCCTAAGTTGGAGCATGATATATCTGTCTCAAAACTCATCAAAATCAGTTAAGCTATCCAGGAAAAGTTATCTGTCAAATACCATACTGTCATTTAAAAAATTAAACTGGTTTTTCACTCCACATTGACATCTGAACACCACAGTTCAGATGAGATTGTATATAGACAATGATTACCTCTGTCTCAAAAACAGAATAAAAATTGGTTGATCTCTCTGGGAGGAGTTGGTTATTAAAGATCATTTTCATTTTTGTCAATACTGATGAAGAGAGTAGCTAAAAGTAGAAGCCTCTTGTTGCAGTGACAAGGTAAAGCTTTTAGAAATTGATGATTGATCACCTGTTGCTTTACTTTATATTCATGCCTGTCTGTCTGCTGTATTTTTGTATTCTGTGTATTCATCACCTGAACCAAATCTGCTCAACATCCTCATTTGGGAATGCACATTTCTAGACATGTTACATATTTTTCTTTTGCTTATATTTTGAATATTATAACCTTAAGAGACATATCCACCCTAAATACACTTCATACATTAGTCTGGAATTTCTGAATGTGAGATTTTGATTTAGTTGAGATTACTTACAGCAATGTACAATCCTGGCCCAAATATTCAACATTTGCATTGGTTCAGATCTTTTTCTAAAACCATGCTAAGCTGCTGGCTTTATGTTTGTGGTTACATAGGTGGGGCAGCTCAGCTTAAAGAAATTGTATTAAGGGGGAAAAAAGGTTTTGGGTTTTAGATATTAAAATGTTAATAATTCTATGAATAGAATTTTCTGCACGTTCTTTTTCTTAAACAACATTTATTCAAGGATATAAGTTAGTAACAATAGAATTTTAGAGAGATCTGAAAACTGCTTGCTTTGAGAACACTGATGACGAGTATAATTATGTCTTTCCTATGATCCTATAAAAACATTGATGGTGTATCATTTCCTTTTCTTGGATGGATGATTGTAAAGGTAATGAGTTGTCAATAGTGATGATGGTTCAGACGGAATAGGCTACATGTTGCTATGAGAAGCCAATCACTTCACTATCATATGTTATAAAATATCCAAGCCTTACACGAACTCAACTGCAATCTGCAGAAATTCATGATAAGAGCGCATTTGAAAAAAACATTGCATATGCAATAATGCAATGTTTGAACATGAGAGGATGCCAATGTTTAACATTGTGGTTCATGTGTAGTAATAATAAACTAGGAATTTAGTGTTTTTAAAAGCTGTATTTACAATCTGTTGGAGGACAGGAAGATATGATTTAAAAATATTAATGTTTGAAAAACATTAATTCCATAAATTTCATTATTTGTAAAAACTTGATGGCCCACTACATCAAAAGCTTTTGAATAATCTCAGAAAAGTCTCATTGCAAATTCTTAGTTGCTAAGTACTGTTAGTACCTATTTCAATTGGAAAATCATTGAAAGTTGATGTTTTTCTAGCAGGTTCATGATTAATTTTTAATTAGTTGTCTTCTTTTCAAATTTTTAACATTTTCTGTTTTGTGAGGATGAATAATGGTTTGAAATTATTTCCTTCTTGCTGTTTTGAAACTAAAATCTAAACAAACCAAAAATTGTTTGTTTCTCTTGAACAGAGTTGCCAAATATGTTCTGAGCTGTTTCCCCTCTGCTACTATGAAATTTCCCCAAAGAACCAGTCAAATGAAACAAAATTTTACAAATTTAAAACAAAAATTATCCACCAAATTATAACATATTCTCACTTTATATTTACCCTACACTCAATTATTATTACACATTTAATAAATAACACACTTTTTACTACTGGGAAAAGTTTCTGTGGAAACTGCAATGAATATGCCAAAAAATATGAAAAATATGTCTGTCATTTATATTCCTTTTTTTTAATACTACATAACAAATGAGAGAGAAATATGACAGTCGTTTTTGTCTCTCTCCTTTGTACATAAGAATTGAGAGGAATAATATAAATTTAAATTCCAGAAACATTTGCACATCTACGTTCCCAATTCTTTCCCGATTTGTTGGATATTTTTCTTCGATTCAAATATCGAGAACTTGTAATCGAACGAATATCAATAGAAGTTTTCTTTGTTGCCAACAGATTTCGCTGACCATACTTTCGGCGTCTAAGGGAAGGAGAGAAACGACAAACGATAATAATGAAGGAAATCGTCTTGTCATCATTTAGTTAAAGAAAAGAATAGTTCTAATGAATTAAGTTCGAGGTTACCATGCGAATATTCAACGAATTTCGCCTATCAATTATGTGGGTGAGGATTATAGGAGATAAATAGTGGTGCTTTAGCAACACGTACGACTCGTATTATTTATAAAAAATGTAAGATTATAATATTCAGCTTGTATCCTACTCTCGTTCTTCTCTTTAAGAAATTTAGACACAGGAAATACTCTACGAAGCGCGAGAGATATGAAGCGTGAGGAATTGATAAAATTAATTTTATTTAAAATTTTAAAAATGTTAATAAAAATACGACTTTGAAGACATATGACAGAACAGTGTAATTCAGTGTT